AAAAAAAAAAAACAAAAAAAAAAAAAAAAAAAAAAAAAAAAAGAAAACAAAAAAGAATAATTGTTATTTGTTAACTACCAGTGAAGAGGACAGCATTGGCATTGATTTTGAAGGGTAATTAATAAGTTGATCAGTCATACCCTTGGCACATGGAAGAATAATTGCACCATTGATATTAAGAAATCAGTCATAGGAAATGTCATTTTTATCAGCATTTTTAAAAAAATTGAAATGATTAGTCTTTACATGGGGGGAGAAGCCTTTTACCTGCATAAAAATTTTTAAAATGCTCTCAGTAATTCAAAACCATGCCTACATGTTTAAATTACTACATGTAATAGCCTTATATCTATTGCAGTTTTCTTAAACATGATTCAGCACTTTCTCAAAAGAAATTTCAATTATTTTTCCTGAAACAATAGAAAACAAAATGAACAAGAGCAGGCTGAGCTTGATGGAACCAGTGGTCTGGCTGAGTTGGATGCAGGACCAATGAATCCGTTCCAGCCAATAGCATCCGTAATCATTGAGGTATGAATGGTGGCAAATGTAATTTTTGTATCTTAAGTTATAAGTTCAGACTTGGAAAAGAAGGTGGAAAGTTAGGAAAGGAGGCAGGCAAACAGAAGTGTTTCTTCAGAGAGATTATTTCTACAAGAAATTAAAGATGAGAGACTGATTAAAGGTTTATTGCTTTTTCTTCTTACTCTTAAATTACCTTTGAATCTAGTGTGAAAGGGGGAATATGAATTCAGAATTCAATGACAATAAATAACGTTGACTGTAGCAATTATTATAGTTGCTGTGTTGGTAAATCTATTTTGTCATTTATTTCATGTAGTAATAATATATTTACTCTTCTTTACATTTTCTGTGTTTCTGTATTGCTGTTACTGTCCATTTGCAATAATATTTACTTAGAATGCATTAGAGTACATAAACAATTTTCTGTTTTTCCAGGATACTTAAGAATGTTTGAAATGGCAATAAATTCTCCTATATCCAAATACCATTTATTTCAATTTTAAATCAGAAATTTTACCAACATTAATTTATAGATTTTAATTATGAAGAAGTGAAGGGGTTGTGTGTGTGCGCATCTGTGTATCTGTGTCTGTTTTCATTTTCTGCTAGTGTCCAGAGTTTGCATTGGCTCTGCTTTCATGGCTGGCAGCAGCAATGCCTCCTCTGAGGCAGTGCTTCCTAAATCTTAGGCTGACTTGCTGGTCCTGCCTGTGTGTTCCCCATTCCTCTTCCCTGTCACTGCCTCCTTCCACACAGGTGCTCATCTGGAAAGGTGGATGCTTGTTTAAACTTCCTCGGGGCTGCTGCTGAGGAGGGAGGCAGCTCCGCAGGTAAGATGATTGGTTAGTTTTGGTGTTGCTTTATTTTGCAAAGTAATTGGTAATATGAGCCATTGGTTTTTAAGTTGTTTGGATACCAGAAGGTTAATTATATTCAATCTTTCATTAACCTCATTGCATTCACCTTAAATATGTGCATTTCTAATTATAGTAAAGCCATCTTAATAGCTTGAGCTGTTTGTCTCAATTCTATCAGATATTGTATTTGTCAAGTTTTGTTTTATGTTTTTCTTAAAAATATTGATAAAGAAGAGGTTAAGTTGTATTTTTTACTTTGAAACATTAGTTATTCCCTGTGCATGATAAGCCTTGCTTTATAAATAATGGTTATTTTATAGTATCATGGGTATAAATTATGTACAAGGGTCTAGTGCCTCTCTCAACATTGTATTTTCCACAATGTATAGAAATGAATAATACTGATGTAAAACATAGTATATAATATATAGAAAGTTGCTAAATTAATAAGTGGCATGGGGAAAGTACACTTATGCTTTTAAACTATAATAATTTCAAGAAGATGGTCAGTAAAGAAATAAAAAACAAATTAGCTGTATTTTTTTTAACCATATAGATTTTCTTTTTTTCCCCCCTACAAAACTTTTTTAGCATGTTTTTTGGTACAGAAGCACTTAATATTCCTTTGATTTTTACTGCAGATAATTAAAATGGTAAAATACTGGAAGGTATTGGTTCCAGGATAGACAGGCAGATCAATAGAACAAATACTAACAAACATAATTATGTATGAGCATTTTAGTACAAGATAAAGATAACATTTCAAATCTGACAGAAAAGAATAACTATTTAGAGAAAAGTAAAATTATTGAATACTGTCTACCTAGTTAAATTCCAAAAGCACCTAAAACTTAAATATGTTTAAGTGAAAGTCTTCAAGTTACTAGTTGACAGTGTAGTTAAATCTTTATATGTGCTTGGAGGAGGAAAAAAATTCAAAGCAGCACAATCAAGCCACAAATCATAAAGGAAAAAATGAACAGATCTTATACTACCCAATTCTAAAGGAATTATTCTACAAAGTTAAAAAGAAATATACCAAACTCTAGTGAAAAATGGGATGCATAGGCTTATGTGGCTCTCTGCCTGGTCTTAGTGACTCAGATGCACAAAAGAACCCTTACAAATTACGATGAAAATAATGAGAATCTAATAGAAAAGTGGGTATTGGGTTGCCAAAGGCAGCTTCCTAAAGAAAAATTAAAAATGTCAACAAGTGTATTTAATAGTTTATTTTTGCCAGCAATAAAAATTTTAACTTACACTCAAAACAACACTAAGATAAAAATATGTATTAATATGGCAGCGATGTAAAAGGTCAATCATGATATGCAGTATTGAATACGATGTAGAAAAAAATCACTCTCCCAGCCCTTTGCCTGTGGTGTACATTGATTCAGTTTTTCTGAAGGGAAGTTTGTGACTATATGTGACATTTTAAAATTTGCCTACCCACTGACTTCAACAGCTCTACTGTTAGCAATTTAACGTTAAAAAAAAAAAAAACCACAAAAAACTATTAGGATTTTCTATTTTTTAAAATAGTGAAAAATTGGAAATAAATTCTTTGTTCATTGACAGATTTGGTATGCTATAAACATTCAAAACAATAATATAACTGATGAAAATAATTGTAGCTAACATCATTTACTATTTATAAGGCACTGTTCTGAGCACTTCATATATTCATTGGCATGGAAAGAAATATATGTTCTTCAGTAAAAACTTGAAATCTTTTTTGTTTAAACAACAAAAACATATGTATATATGGATACGTACATTTATGCATGTTTCTGGGTGATGTATGTCTTTACGTGATGTATGTATGTACGTGTGGGGGTTTGCAGAGAAAATTATCTTAGTGATTATAGACAAAATAGATTATATACCAAATAATATAGATGAAAATTAGTCATCTCTAGATTGTAGAATTACTGGTAATACTTGTTTTCTTTCATTATACTTTCTGTGTTTACTGAATGTTTGACATTTAGCATATTTTAATGATGTATTCATCAAATTATTTTTAAAATAGAAATCTCTCAGTGTCCCTGAAGTTACAGAATGCTGTTAAGGTATATGATTCCTCTTTTAAAACTATCTTAGATAAAACCATTATAATGAAGATAATGTATTTTATTCTTTGTTAGAATGAAAGAAAACTTGAAAAAGAGAAAAAAAAGCAAAAAATGGAGAGAGACAGTGATGGGTGCCATCTGAACCAGAAAATGGAGCCTGAGCAAATGGAGACACAAGGCCAGGTTAATGACGGTGGCCAAAAAAATAATGAATTTGGACTAGTAGAAAATTATAAGGAATCATTAACACAGCAGTTAGAGAATGAAGATGAGACAGACCAGCCATCATTAGAATCAGGTAATAAATCTAGTTACTTAAAGTAATGATCTTATGCATATGTAAATAAAACTTATACTTCATCTCATTTATTATGTTTATTTTTATAAAAGAGTACTATAGTATTTTTCTGCCTTCAAATGCCATATTTTTCATGATTTTCTCAAGGTCTTTGATTATTTGACCAGTTTGTTCCTAACATGATGACTTAAAATGTGGTCCTTTGTAACTTACAAGAATTTCAGCAGATAATTTCATTTTTAATTCTATTTTCATAAATTTGGGATACAGCATAGCTCTCAAGAGTCCTTGGAATAAATTTAACATCTTAAGGCTTTTTTTGTTTGTTTTGTAAGGCTCATAATGCTACATCAGCATTATTTCCTTTGTTGACTGGCTGTTGCTATAGGTAGCAAACAATCGGTAGAACATTTTTAAATGTCTTGTGAAATAGCCATTTTTCTCTTATTTTAATATCATAAAAAATCTTCAACTCATAATTGGTTTTCTTTTTCTAACTGGCTATGTTATGCAAAAGTACATTCCTGTCTTTTGGTGTCATAGGGATATAGCCTGCATTTGGAATCAGACAACTTGGGATAGAATTCTGACCCATTATCTACTAGATATATGTTAAGTTATATAACATTCTTTAGTATTACTTTTTTTAATCTCTAAAATGCAAATAAATATTGTCTGGGGCTTTTAGGGTTACTTAGAAAATAACTCTACTCCTAGCAGTGTCTGCCACATGAGAGATGCCCCATAACTGTTGCTCCCTTGACATTTTTGGTTATTAATATGGCTTCATTATGTATAATAATTTTTTATAGTATCACAGGGCTTATAAAAATAAGATTTCAATTCCTGAGATATAGATTAGCTAACATGGATATTTTGCTGGATGACAAATATTAGATTTGAAAGTTACATTCTTTGTCAGTTGGGAAGTTAGGGCAGTCATACTGGTACCCATATAACTGTCAACAGAGTTAAAAAGTAAGTAGACCTATTACAGTGGTCTCTAAGTTTTTAAAGAGTTCTTTAATACTTGTTAAAGAGCAAAATGATTTTGATAAATGATTTGAAAATATAGCACAGGGAGATGTAAGGTAGTAAATCATGTAACTATAATAATAACATTTTATACTTTAAAACAGCATTTGGATGTGCTATATTATTTAAAATAACATTATGTTATTTAACATAGCAATCCTAGGGTATACTATTGCATTATATAAATGAAGAGAACAGGGACTTGAAGAGGTTGGGTTACTTAAGATCATATATCTTGTCTGTGTAAACTGAGACCCCAGTCGAGATCATCTGATCCACATCTGTGCTTTTCCATGACCTTGAACTACTGCCCACCCTTAAGTACCTTATGGTGGTTGTATTCCACATCTTATGGATCTGTTCTTCCAGTTGTTAAGCTTACCATTTTAATTGTAAAAAAGATCTATTTTTTTGTATGAAATGTTTCAAACAACACTAGTTTATTTAGAATAATTATTTGTTTCTAAGTGTGTTTGTATTTTTTATTGCTTTGTAGGCTTCACAGATATTGGATATATTTTATGTTACAAATAATTCCAATTTAGAAAGTACATTGCATGTGTGTGCATGCACACACACAGAGAGACACACACACACACACACACACACACACACACACAGAGACATGGCTGTTTGTAACTATCAGTTAAAATATTGCAGTTACATTGTCTGAGCAGGGTGGCTCACACCTGTAATCCCAGCAGTTGAAGCCGAGGAGGGCAGATCACTTGGTCAGGAGTTCGAAACCAGACTGGGAAGCATGGTAAAAGCCCGTCTTCACAAAAAAATACAAAAACTAGCAGGATATAGTGGCACACGCCTGCACTCCCAGCTACTCTGGAGCCTGAGGCACAAGAATCACTTGAACCTGGGAGGTGGAGGCTGCAGTGAGCCAACAGCCTAGGCACGGAGCGAGGAAAAAAAAGTTGCAACAACATCGATGTTCTAAATTTAGTTAACTACTATGTCATCCTAGTTCACCTTATTGAAATTTATACATTAATAGGTACTCTTGATGTGTTTAAGTTAAAATATGTGAATAATTTTTTAAGAAAGAATACATTCAATTCTGCTGTTTCTACTAATGTGATTTTGGTTACATGTATGTATTATATTGGGCCTACCTTCTTTCAGGGGTTATTTTATCAATTTTTTTTTTTTTTTTGAGATAAGGACTCACTTTGTCACCCAAGCTGGATGGCAATGGCACAGTCATGCTACTGCAGCCTCAAGCTTCAGGGCTCAAGCAATCCTTCTGCCTTAGCCTCATGAATAATTGGGACTACAAGTGCATGAAAACAAAGCCATGCTATATATGTATTTTTTTCATAGAGATGAGATCTTGCTGTGTTGGCCAGACGGTTCTCTAACTCCTGGGCTCACCCATTCCTCCCACTTCATCCTCCCAAAGTGCTGTTTTTACAGGTATAAGTTGCCATGCTTAGCCTTGTAGGAGTTATTTTAAATAAGTAACATGTTTAGATTTGTTTAGGGCCCTTTATGTCACATTTCAAAGAATTAATTTTTGACTATTTATACCTAGAATCATTCTACATATCCCACTGAGAAAAATCAAATATACTGAGTGACACAGTAATGAATAGCTTCTTTCCTCAGATTATTATGAATTTCATGGAAACACTTACAATTACACAATTTTGTTTCATACGACATTTTTTTGTAGTCTGAAAAACCTCTCTGAAATTAAAATACAGATGTTTGGCTCTTTGTTGTATCATATTCATTTGTCATTCAATAAGCTATCACTTAAAAATATATATTCTTAGTAAATGCAACTGCACATTTGGTTGTTGGTAACAATTTCCAAAGTTGAATTGTCAAGATGTTTTTATGTTATCAATATTCTTGTTTTATACTTTGTTTTCTATTATAAAAGTTCACTTTTTCCTAAAGATATAAAATTTCATGTTTATATTCTTGTAGCTAATGGTAAAAAGAAAACTAAGAAACTAAGAATGAAAAGGAACCACCGGGTAGAACCACTTAATATAGATGACGGTGCTCCTGAGAGTCCAACACCACCCCCACCTCCTCCTCCTGGTGAGTAAATTGATACTGATACTGAATTTAGAAATATTCTTTTAAACAACAGAGAAGAAAAGAAAAAAGCAATCTTGCCATTTTTATTCTGTATATTCATTATCTTGTATGTTTGTAAAAAATAATCTTTTAACTCTAATTTGAACAAAATTTGCTAACAAAAATGTCCATTCTCTTTTTAAATAAAAAAAGTTTATAATGGAAAAAATAAGTAAAAACTATTAAGAAAACTTTATCCAGTATTTCCTAGAATATGTTCAAGTTCTTTTTGAAATATTAGTACCTAGATGTTAATTAAAGTTTCATGATGGATGGTTAACATGAGCCTTTAAAACATTGGACCAGCTGGACGTGGTGGTTCACTGCTGTAATCAGTCCCAGCACTTTGGAAGGCTGAAGTGGGCAGATCACAAGGTCAGGAGTTCGAGACCAGCCTGGCCAACATGGTGAAACTCTGTCTCTACTAAAGATACAAAAGGCTGAGAATGGTGGCTCATGCCTGTAATTCCAGCACTTTGAGAGGCTAAGGTGGGCGTATTATGAGGTCAGGACTTCAAGACCAGCCTGGCCAACATAGTGAAACCCCATCTCTTCTAAAAATCCAAAAATTAGCTGGGTGTGGTGGCATGCACCTGTAATCGCAGCTACTCAGGTGGCTGAGGCAGGAGAATGGCTTGAACCCAGGACGTAGAAGTTGCAGTGAGCCAATATCATGCCACTGCACTCCAGCCTGGGCAACAGGGCGAGACTCCATCTCTAAAAAAAAAAAAAAAAAAATTGGACCTTTCATCCTGAAACTTAACATTTGAAACCAAGATGTATCAATTTTTTCTAATATATTTTCAACATACTTACCCATGTCTTAAGTTGTTATGAGGATTAAATGGAATAATGCATGTAAGACACTGGTACTTAACTTCCACAATCAATTATTAATCAAAAAGTTACTCTCAATTAGAGTAACTTTTCAGCACTAAGGTTAATACCTCACCTACTATAGCTGCTCAATAAATACGTAATGACTAGATAATTATGTGTTATAGTGCCCCTACATCCCTGCTACAAGGCTGTAGAAAGTATTTGGTAACATTTGCTTTTAAGAATTTCTTACAGACTCATTTCCAGTATTCCATTTATTAAGAAAATATTTAGTCTCTGCTTAGAGTTAGAATGTTAGCATGAGTTTGTTTTTGATAGCAGTGAAGGTGCTTATATTTTTTATTAAAAATTATTGAAAACTCAAAGCAGATGTTAGCAGCCTATAATTACATTTTAAAATATAGAAGCCATTTAAAATGGGTTTATGGCTATTCCTTACTGTCATTCAATATATTTGAATTGATATTGAATGTTACATATGCTTCCTTTCCAGGGAGGGATCCTCTCAACAGACCTAAAGAGACCTTGTTTAACAGTATTTTTAAATGTTTTTCTTTTTCTTTAGTTGGCTGGGGAACCCCTAAAGTCACTAGACTTCCAAAACTCGAGCCTCTTGGTGAAACACGTCATAATGGTAATGCAAAAGGATTGGTTTTCAGATGTCTTCTGTACATGTTACATGCACTTTTCTTTAACCTTATAACTTCAACAAACTTATGTTTTAGTTTTGGAAGCCCGTCAAATCCACAGCCATCCTTTTTCATTATACTTCTCTTTTTTTCATATTATTTAATTTTTTTTATTAAGTATGCTTTACATCTATATAATTTGATTTGTTGTTTACCTTAGGATACAGAGGTAAAAATAATCATAGCTTGTGTTTATACATGATACATTTATACAAGGAGTTAGAAAAGGTTTTAAAACAATTTAACTGAGACATTACAATGATAACTTAAGTGTTAAAAGCTGTAGTTTCCTGTATATGCCCAATATACTCAATGCCACATAATTTTTTTCTCTCTATTCCTAATAAGACAACCAGCTACTTTACAGTGAAGTAAAGATAACACAGTTTGTAAAATCAGAGATCAAATCAGTAAACCAAATAAAGTTTGACACAGTAGAAAGAAAGTTACTGACAGCTTTATTGAATTAAGAACAATTTTCTTTAAATATAACTAACATATGCTATAGTCTAGGTAGTTTATGGCATTGGAATTCTAGGATGCAAAAACTAGAGGAAGGATATTTAGGAGAAGTAGAAAACCGCTTTATAAAACAGGGAGAAGTTCTGATTACAGATCATCAGTCTAGGTCCCTTCAGTAAAATATTTCTAGAATGCAAAAGAATTGTAGCTAATTGTGGCTCAATAAACTTGTTTGTTAAGAACACCCAGTTCCTTTTATGATAGCTCTGTGTTTACCTAGTCTATAATTTGGTTTCACTTACTAGGAAAAAAGTCAGAAATTTAATCTTTAGAAAAGCATTACCATATAATTTGAAATCATATCAAACCAGTTTAAATATTTTTATTTAGAAAGTACATAAATATAAATGTGCTATTTGCTTTTTTTTCTCAGAATTCTGTATAGGTTGGTAATGAAATATTTCTTGATAATTGTTAGTGAAGATTAATGGATTTTTTTTTTTTACATTTTTAAAGAAATAGAAATTTGTCCTTAGACTATATCAGAATTACTGAAATTGTATTTTCAGTGGAGTCTCATATCTCTGTTTAGTTTTCTCACCTTACATTATGATGTTTATATTGACTACAGTAGATTTCTTTTTTATTATACAACTCAGCGAACTTGCATACATTAAAGAGTACATTGTCAATATAAATATTCACTATGTTGTCAGAGAAAACTAGGTAATGTTAGTGCGTATATTTATATGTACACACATATACATATGAAGAAAAATTTTTTCATATGACATTTTTTCTGTTATTGAACTCATTTAACAAACAACTATTTTGTTTTTTGTTAAAAGATTAGTAATAACAAGATGAATAAAATGTGCATTCTGCCTTTGTGAGGATCCTACCGTATAGAGAGGGCAATTCTTCAGCTTACTGCGGTATATATGACAATGAGTTCTATGGTGTACAGAGTACTATGCACAATAGGAGTACTGTGCATGGGCAGTTAGGGAAAGTGGCATTAGAACGAGTCTTCAAACAATGAGAAGAGTCAGGAAGCCAAAGAAACAGACTATTTCAAGGTAGAGAGGTAGGAAAGAATATTGTTTAGTTGGAGAGTAACCTGAAGTTGCCAGTGACAGGAAGATTAGGTTTATGTGCACTGAGGGGTAAGAAAGAGAAAATATAAAATTACGGAGAGTGTTAAAAGTGGAGTTAAGAAAATGTACAGTCAACTCTGCTTTTAATTGGGAAAGATAAATATAAATTTTTAGTACAAAAAGCTTACATTTAGTAGTTTTTAGAGTTCATCATGAGATGTTAATCTTAGATGCTGATAGGTATCAATTACATAATTGAATCTTCTTCTTTTTCTAAGTTTGTACATATTTATTTGCCTTTATATTCAAAGTAAATTGATAAAAGGTTTATGACAAGTAGACAACAATATATGATGAACTAGAGTAGATAATTAAGAATTGGAAATTTGGTTTGGCTTAAAATTTACTGAGTTGAAAACTAATATGCTGTAGTCATATTGGGAATTTTTAAGGCAGAGACTTGTACTTTTTTTTCCCTTTAAGTATTTTATAAAAAATAATTTCAACTTTTATTGAAATTCATGGAGTACACGTGCAGGTTTATTACATGGGTATATTGCATGATGCTGAGGTTTGGAGTCTGAATGATTCCATCACCCAGGTAAGGAGCATAGTGCCTGATAGTTTTTTCAGTGCCCATCCCACTCTCCCTTTGTTAGCTCCCAGTGTCTGTTGTTGCCATCTTTATGTCCCCTACTTGTATTTTGAGTATAGAGATTTACATTAATGGCAAGTTTATTCTACTTTTCTAATTGCTTTTACTGCCTACAAAGCTTGCTCAGTGTAACAGGTCAGGCAGTTGCATTTAGAGAAGAGACTTAAAAAGAGAATTTGTATTCATTTTTTAAGCACTCTGTCTATGCTTTATCAATGTTATATATTATGTATTACACACTATGAAAAATAAATCATAAGATCATGTTGGTAAGAGTGCCAAATGCACAAACTCAAGAATATTTTCAAATTTTAAAATTATGGAGGAAGATAAAATTTTGTGTGTGGTTTACTGCTCCTCAATTTTCATGGTAAAGAAGTTGAAGCCGTTTATAAAAATGTGTTGGCAATTAAGTTTGTCATTTTAGTGGGGCACATACTTTACAAATAAGAAATCTTCTTTGTATAGAATGATTTGATTTTCTGGCAAAGAAATAGTAGAAAATCATCTGGATGGGGTAGCTCATGCCTGTAATCCCAGCACTTTGGGAGGCTGAGGGAGAAGGGCTTCTTGAGGCCAGGAGTTTCAGACCAGTCTGGGCAAAATAGTGACCTAGGGAGATCCCCATCTTGTGAAAAAGAAAGAGAGAAAGAGAGAGAGGGGAGAGAAAAAGAAAAAAAGAAAGAAAAAAAAAAGGAAATAGCAAGTCAAAATCAACTGAATAATTTCTTAGAAGGGAAAAAGACATTTCTTACATGTTTTTTATTTTAAAATTCTAAAAGTAAAACCTATTTAAAAACATATTCACTCTAGTTTAATAGTGAATTCTGTTTCTATGAAAATTCTATTAATTTTTTGAATTCAAGAAATTAGAGAAAGCATACTTTATCAAAATAATTGAATGTCTCCTACCACTTTAATTATAGCAATAATAATTACATATACCATGTGTCTATCACATTGCTAAGCACTTTAGGTATTTATATCATTTTAATTCTCCCAAATATCTTCATGAGAAGGGCAACAATATCCCCATTTTGTGTGTGAGGAGACTATACCCCAATGTTACATATACCTAATAAGTGACAGAATCAGAATGTAAACTTAGGCCTGTCTAGCTTTGAAACACATACCTTGAATTCATTATTGTATGCCATTAAGATTTGTCTGGACATCCTTGCAGCTTAGTAATTGCTTTGAATTGATAGTTGTTTTAAAAATCACTTTCCCCTATTAATATATTCATTTTAAGTGTTTCTGCAATACCTATGTATCTAGAATAATTTTAAGGTAATAGACCAGAAAGTACTTACTAAAGGTTTACATATACCATGAAGTTTATAAGCCAATTTTCAATAATTATGAAATGGAAATTCACCATAATGGACAAAATAAGACTTCTTTGTATAAAATTGCCTCAAATCATTGAACTCTATTGAAGCATTATTGTAAAAGATTCCAACTTACAAGAACACTGCAATAATTAATACTTCTACTAAAATACCTAGATGCCCCGTGGTGGCTCACGCCTGTAATCCCAGCACTCTGGGAGGCTGAGACGGGTAGATCACTTGAGGCCAGGAGTTCCAGACCAGCCCAGCCCATCTGGTGAAACTCCATCTCTAATAAAAATAAAAAATTAGCGGGGTGTGGTGGTGCACGCCTGTCATCCAAACTACTTGGGAGGCTGAGGCAGGAGAATTGCTTGAACCCAAGAGGCAGAGATTACAGTGAGCTGAGATCACACCTCTGCACTACAGACTGGGCGACAAAGTGAAACTCCATCTCAGAAAAAACAAACCAACAGACATACACATAACCCTAAAAGTAGCAGCCATTTGCATTAGAATATGGAGTAGAATTACCAGGTTTATAGATTTTTGAATTAAAAGTTCTATAGATTTTAAATATTTTATATTTGTTCTCTTCTAGCGTGAATGTGTAATAGTAAACAAAAGTAATAATAAATATATCCATTAGGTGCAGCTTTTTATTAAGTAGAAATTAATTTTGAATCTACAATTAGGAATTTTTTCTAGTGATTATATTTTGAATTTAAGTTTTCTTGGATTCTGATTTTTTTTTTCTATCTTCTGCACACATAGTCTCACCTGCTAAGTTTAGAATGTCTTTTTTTTTTTTTTTTTTTAAAGATTTTGATTGAAAAATAATGAACTGTGTCAAAAATCTTGATTTACCATAATTGTTTCATGCATTTGGTTTTCTTTCTTTACTTAGATTTCTGTGGGAAGCCGCTGCCTCCCCTGGCTGGGCCACAGCGACCTAACAGTGATGCTCATGATGTGATCTCATAAACAAGTCATACTGGCAAGGTGAACTGGGACATTCTTCTTTCTCCGAAGAAGAAACATCCTGAATAGTGGTAACTGGGACAAGATAACCATAGCGATTTTAGTGAGAAGATTAATACTCAAGGACCTGACTTGATAATTACTTATTTGTGTTTTTCATGGTTAAAAAAGAAAGGAAGCACAATGACCAGTACATAAAATCAGCATTTGGACCAAATTAGCAAGATTTAGTATTGACTCTGGTTTACACACTCCCACTCATGAGCATACTTCTGAAGGAAAACATTAGAAAAGAGCCAGTGGACTCTGCACTTTCTTTATTTAAGTCTGTATTTCTAGATATTAAGTGTTTTTTAAAAGATACATGCACATAGAAGGGGAACTTCTAGGAATTTATACCCAAAATTTTAAAACTATTTTTATATTTTTTTAAACTTTAAAAATTTTAATTACTATGATATTGATTATATACCTTTTTAATAGAAGATTTGTTTAAATTGTGTCTGAAAAACAGTGTTAATTTACTTTCAGACATGAACTATACAAACAGGATATATTTATGTGGCTTGAGGTATGTTTTGTAATCCTTTAAGTGTACATCCTAATTTGACCTAATTTAAAAATAATATATTTTTGAAATAGTAGATTCTTAGATCTTTATTCTACCAATTATATGATTTGAAAACAGTACTCAGTGACAGAGACTGGAAATACCTTTTGTACCTAAATGTTTTTGAAATTAATTAAAACACATTCTGTGACATACTATTAAAATATCTCGGGGCCAGGCGTGGTGCCTCATGCCTATAATCCCAGCACTTAGGGAGTCTGAGGCGGGCGGATCACCTGAGGTTGGGAGTTTGAGACCAGCCTGACCAACACGGTGAAACTCTATCTCTAGTAAAAATACAAAAATTAGCTGGGCGTGGTGGTGCATGCCTGTAATTCCAGCTACTTGGGAGGCTGAGGCAGGAGAATCACTTGAACCCGGGAGGCGGAGGTGCGGTGAACTGATATCGTGCCATTGCACTCCAGCCTGGGCAATAGCAGCGAAACTCTGCCTCAAAAAAAACGTCTCAATAAAGTCCTATTTTAAAGGTTAGACACTTTCAGAGATCAGGGTGCTCCCTGTTACTCCCTTGTTCTGTCAGAAGCTGCAGTGACTCTTTTAGGTGATTCTAACTCTTTCATGCCTTGAAATTAAACTATGAAATTAAAAGCAAAAAGAGTGAAAAACCTACTGCAAGCCCAGAGACTTGTGTTTTACAGCTAGGAAATAGCTTGGGTACTAAAGCAATGAGAATAAAAATGTTGGCTCAAATTACTTAAGAAATAATTCCAAAATAATTTCTTAATTTAAGATGATAGTACTGCTCTTGCACTTACGAATGGCATCCCTAAGATTATGTATTTGGCATTTAAACAGACTTCTAGATATATATTTTGAATAACAGATTCATAATGTTGCATTTAATTGAAAACAAAACTTTATATCCTGGTGAAAATACTATAAACAGAATGATTTCTGTATCACCTTGTTAAGATTGGTGCTTTTGGTAACTTGTACTGACACAATAGATATATATTAGTATCTGACAATAACATTAAGTACATTTTATGCTATTTAATATAATTATTTACTTTAAAAATTTTACTTCAGAGCATCAGATTTTATTCACATTTTTTAACTCACTGAACTTCAATAGTCAGGTCACCTATACTCTAGTCAGCATTGTATATATTCTTGGAGTTTGTACATGGGACTTACCAACCACACTGAATTAAAAGAATTTGACTTCATATCTATAATTCATAAATTTGTAAATTTGAGAGGTGGCTGACGTGATGAAAAGCAACACAATAACACAAAATGTAAATTTTGAAAAGGATTTTAGAGAGAAAATTGCACAACTTTTTGTAACATTTACTCAATTTTAAACTCATACTTTTGCCATCTTTTTAATATTTATCTACTTTGGGAGTATATGTGTTTTTAAATTTTTGTTTTCTGTTTGTGTTTACTATAATGTAGCTACTGACTTCATTGAGTAAAAATAAATTATTTTGACATTAAATATATTATAAAATAGAATTCACGTTTTATATACCTCTCTCAAAAAATTAAGTTTTTTTCCTTAAGCTTTTTAAAAACATTTTTAAATGTTTTGTAAATCCAGGTGTATTTTTAACAATTAAATGCCTATTTTATTATATGTCACACTTTTATTCTGAATTTTGACATTTTCACATAATAAAAATAATTTATATCAATATTCTGTTTCTCTTTTCATTTGGTAGATTTAAATGATTTCCTTTGGGTAATAAAATAGGTAAAGATTTTAAAATATGATTATTAAAAAAGTTTAAATCAGTGGATTAAAATAATGCATTTTTTTGTTAGTTTACACACAAAACTTTCTTCTCTCTGCAAGTTTTTATGTATATGGGAAAGAATGTTGTGATTTTAAATGCAGCTAAAAATAGTATTTCACCATATGGTGTTAGAGGATTTGATGTCTGTCTTGTGTTAAAGCTATTGGTCAACAGATATGTTTTTATTTTTTTTAAAAGATCATCTTATGTGCCTTTATGTGTAAAATGCCTATTTTATAGTATGCATATGATATTGTATGTAACTGATGTCAAATATAAAACTATGCATAGAAACAACACTAGAAAGAAATGTAGTTTGGTTATAATTTTGTATAACTTATTTAAGTACCATGCTTTCTGCAAGTTTAAAATTAAGTGCTTTTATAAATGCCAGACGAAGACTAGAATTCCCTTAATATGTAAAACCTGTGAAGAGCCTGGAACAGTTCACCTATAGAATACAACTAAAGAAATCAAATGCTTCTAGATGGCAAAAGTTATTCACAAACTGAATTGCTTAAACAAATAAAGCTGTAGCTTATAAACTTTATCAGCCTTTAGTTAGTACATTTTTTGATAAGTGGAATATGCTTTGCAACTGAGATTCTGCTAACAATGGTTTATTAATTTATCAAGAAATATATTCCAACTGATCCAAAGAAGAAATTCAAATATTTTTAAATTTTCAATAAAGTATGATATAAGTTATCAAAATAGCAGTAATCCTTTATTTTTTCGGAAACAGAATAATGGATACCTGTTTTTGAGGTATCTATTTTGAGGGAGAATGAAAAGCAAGCCAGAAATGAACTACCTTTAATGAAAGAGATCAGCTTATGATTAAATGGAAGATAGGAAAAAAATTCATTTGCTTGTTGTGGGCATGAGTTGTAAGTTCCTTCTGTGTGCTGACGAGGAAACCATTTACAACCTGGGTAAGTGGATCAGTGGTTTCCAAATTTTTATAGTGTCTTCTATCAGAAAACATTTTTAATATACACTGATGTTTAAGTTATTGTATTAGTTTGCTAGGGTGGCCATAACAAAGTATCACGGACAGTTTGCTTAAAAAACAGAAATTTGTTTTCTCAGTTCTGGGGCCTGGTAGTCTGACACCAAGTTGGTAGGTTTGCTTTCTCCTGAAGCCCCTTCTTGGCTTATAGATAGACCCTGTTTTGTGTCCCCACTTTTTCTGTCCACTTGCCCACCCAACCCCATTGTCTCTCAGTGTGTTCAATTTTCCTTTTTAATGACCTTTTATAACTTACCTCTTTAAAGGCCCATCTCCAAATATAGTCCCATTCTGAGATTCCTGGGGGATAAGGCCTCAGAATGAATTTTGGAGGGACAGATTTCAGCCCATAACAGTTAACATGCTTGTTCTACTGCAGTATGTACATTTTAAATACACTTCCATAAAAAAATTGTAAAAGACTACCTAAAGCTTAATAAAAATAAAAGTCATTATATTTACTTCCTAGACACAGTGCATTGTCTGCTGGAGTCTGTACATACCACATTGGAGCCCTGAATTTTAGTAAAATGAGAATCTCACCTGATGTTTAAGCCTAAAGAATGTCTATAACTATGCTGTGTTCTCTAGCATTGATCACAGGTTTCCTGTTGTGTTTTTCTGCCATATAGTTTAAGGAGCTAAGGGCTCTCTTGATGTCAGATTGTTTTACCACAAAGCCTGTCCTTACCTTTTTGACAACATAAACCTCTATGTGAACATGAAGGATTTTGAGACATGTTTTATATAAATATGAAAATTCATAAAACATAGCTAGTTTAGTTGTTCCATAAATCACTCTGAAATACTTCTTAGATAAACTGACCTTACAATAAATTTGCTTATGTATGTAAAATGTGTTTCCTGCCTAGAGGTAAGTCCTTATTAAGCTGCCTGGCTCTTTAATACTAACACTAGAAACCCCAAAAACAAACTAATGTAATTTATGGTATTTGTGTCAGCTCAGTGTCTTATGTCTGCAGTGGTTTAATGCAAGTCTGCTAACAGTTTTTATTCCTAAAAATGTAGAATTATTCATTCTTCGGTAGCTATTTGGGGTGGGGTGGGGAGTAAAATCCGTTAACATTCTGATGATATACAAATACTGATTCTAGATAGATTAAAAGATTAAACATAAAATATCAAGCTATGAAAGGTAGGGGGAAAAACAGAAGTGGCTTCACTCTATGGGCAAAAATGTATAAGCCTGAAAGCAGTGGAATCAATAACAAACTCAATTGACAATGCACAAAAATATTTAAAATACTTTCGCTCTTAAAGTCAAATGGTTACAAGAAAAATTGGGTAATTATTTTAACACCTGACATGGTTATCACCTGAAATATAAATAAAATGATACTAAGACATCTATAGATAAGTGGACATGAGCAGGTAACCCCCAAAAAAGAAATAACTAGTAAGATTTGAAAACCTATCCTACCTAAGGTATAGTTAGGCATTATAAGATTATTAGAAATTCAGATAATTCATAAGCAAAGTTGTTTATTTAAAATCAGAAAATATATAGATGCTGAGTCCCAAAATTAGGTGGTAAAATAAATATGACCTCTTTCCAAGTATAACACATTGCCTTTCTCTAACAGAAATAAGTATATGATTCTTACTACCTTCTTCAAATTTTTTTTATGAGCTAGTGTAACTTTTTATTAAGATATAACTTTTTATGAAAGAAAAATATGAAAATGGTTAAGTAAAATCAAATGGCTCCAAAAGTCTTACTCTGAAAACAGCAGTCCTACCAGTTGTTCTTCCCAGAGGCAAGCTTTTCATTCTCTTAGTTTTTCCTTCTGGCAGTTACTTTCATTGGTTTTTCCAAATTGTTATCTTTTTAGTTTTTCAAGTGAATGCATATATTAATACCTGTAATTTACAAAAGCCTCTTCAGTTTATAATGCATCCTAACAGTCCCCTGTCCCATCCCTCCTACTTCTCCAGAGCAATGACTTTTAACTCTTTTAACAATGTCTTCTATTTTTTTCTCACATAGCTACTTAGTAATTTCTTGAATATTTTATACATTACATAGTGATTTCTTGATTTGACAGATGAGGGTTTAGCTCTTATACCATTACTGTCTTCACTTTTACTCCCATATTGTCCCAAAGTAGTTACCAGATTTAGGGGCTAAGCAGTCACCACATCGTTATGACTGTACGTATTGCTCACTGTTGAGAAAAAGTGTATTATGCTCTTACTTCCTGTCCTGTACTTACTTCTTCCCTAGAATTAATGATTTCCTAATCAACCCTTCCCCCTTGTTTTTAAGTTTTATCTTCAATGAGCTTCTTTTCAAATGCCCCAAATCTGGCAATAACCTATTATTAAGAGAAGGGATCTCACTATGGTGGCCAGGCTGGTCTGGAACTCTTGGGCTGAAGCCCTCCTCTTGCTTAGCTTCCTGAGTAGCTGGGACCACAGGCATGGGCCATTCCATCCAGCTAACCTATTAATATTTTTACTGTTTTTCGTTTTGTTTTGTTAAGCCAGCTCCATAGCTGGAATATTGCCTGTGTTGGATCCTATTTGCTAGATCCATGGCTTTTCTGGTTTGTGTACACCTTCATTTTGATGGAGTACTTTCTCCACTAGGTTCCCAAGAAAGGGTTCATGGAGGTAACTCCTGAGTCTTTGCTTGTCTAAAAATGTATTATTTTACCTTCACCATTGATTATTTGGCTGAATATAGATTTATCACTTGAAAACAACTTTCTAGAATTCACAAGGCATTGTCCCATTGTTTTCAGATTCTTTTTCTAGACAGGGTCTCTTCTGTCACCCACGCTGGAGTGCAGTGGCACAATCACAACTCACTGCAGCCTTGAACTTGAGGGCTCAATTGTTCCCTCCATCTCAGCCCCCCCGGAGTAGATGAGACTGCATGTGTGTGCCACAATGCCAAGCCAATTGTATCTTTTGTAGAGATGGGGCTCCCCCATGTTGCCCAAGCTGGTCTTAAGTGATCTGCCGACCTCGGCCCCGCAGAGTGCTGAGACCATAGGCCTGAGTCCCACACCTGGCCAGTTTTTCTTTTATTCTCTCTCTGCTCTCTTCATTTCTCAAAGGCATCTCAAATTCAGTGGGCCCCAAACCAAAGTCAAACTCCATCAGAATATCCTGCTACTTCCAACTTTATCTTAAATAAGTTTCTTATCCATGCAACCCTTTGGTTTAAAATACCATCATCTCTCACTTGAACTTAGTTTGTTTTCCTGCTTCTGTATTTCTTAAAATTATAAAATATTTCAAAACATGTGTGGCTTTATACTTTTGACTACATAAAAAGAATGAAGATCTGCAGGGGGCGGTGGTTAATGCCTGTAATCCCAGCACCTCGGTAGGCCGATCACCCGTCAGAAGTTGGAGACCCGCCCGACCAGCATGGCAAAAACCCCATCCACACCAAAAATACAAAATCAGCCGGGCGGGCCGGACGCGGTGGCTCACGCCTGTAATCCCAGCACTTTGGGAGGCCGAGGCGGGTGGATCACGAGGTCAAGAGATCGAGACCATCCTGGTCAACACGGTGAAACCCCGTCTCTACTAAAACTACAAAAAATTAGCTGGGCATGGTGGTGCGTGCCTGTAAACCCAGCTACTCAGGAGGCTGAGGCAGGAGAATTGCCTGAACCCAGGAGGCGGAGGTTGCGGTGAGCTGAGATCGCGCCATTGCACTCCAGCCTGGGTAACAAGGGCGAAACTCCGTCTCAAAAAAAAAAAAAAAAAAAAAAAATCAGCCGGGCTTGGTGGCGTGCGCCTGTAGTCTCAGTCACCCCGGAGCCTAAGGCAGGAGAATTGCTTGAACCCGGGAAAGCAGAGGTTGCAGTGAGCAGATGTCGCACCATTGCTCTATGCCTGGGCAACTAGAGGGAAACTTTTGTCAAAAAAACAAAAAAGGTATGAAGAGCTTAAATACTTAAACATGGAATTGCTTTGAGTGTTTGACATTCACTGTTCCTGTGCATTCCAGCAGCTTCTTCCTGCAAACACCTGGGATTTGCTATAGAGCAGCTGGAGTACCTTCTGCCCACACACAGGACAGGGAGCTGACCACCAAGCAGTGGGGGATCAATATTCCAGCTTTCTCCCCTCCGTTTCCCTGCTATCTCAGCAGTATGGAGCTTGTTACCAATGAGAACCTGCTCACTGACTTTATGCCCTAGAATTAATGATTGCCTAACCAACCCTTTAAACTGCTTTTCTTACCTTCTCAGTCTCATTTAGCAATACCTCAGTTGATGATTTCTGGTATGACCTAGCAAATAAACTACTTTCACTGAAATTTCAGTCTTGGAATCTGCTTTGGGTTCCCCAATCTAAGACAGAAAAATACTCATTTTTCCCATCACTGGACTTCCAGGTTGTTTTGTTTTTCACTGTTACAAACAAGACTGCAACATTTGTCTACAAACCTCTGGATATACACGTAGGAAGTTTTTGATATTTCCCGCTAGTGAAACTACTCAGTTGAAGGGTATGCTCGTCTTCAATAACTACTACCAACATTTGAAAAGCCCGACAATGTCAAGGACTGGCAAGAGTGCCGCATGTGATGGGTGTGGAATGGCAGCTCACTGTAGCAGGTGCTGGCAACTCAGTCCGGGTCTTGGAGAGGCACTTAGTTACAGCAAGAATGTTTCATAAATGGTATCTGATATATTCAAGATTAGTGGGGGAAAAAAAATGTTGCTTAGAAATAATTATCCATAGATCTAAAGTCAACAAAATTTTTTTTTTTAATAAAGGTGGGGTTTCACCATGATGGCCAGGCTGGTCTTGAACTCCTGACCTCAGGTGATCCACCCATCTCGGCCTCCCAAAGTGCTAGGATTACAGGCGTGAGCCACAGCGCCCGGCCAAAAATACATACTTTTTTCAGAGGGAGGGGGAACAACTGAAACCGGAAAACACTTTCATATTAATCATTCTTCTCATACACTTCAAACTTGTACTTAATGCCTTTCTCCTCCTGGACATCAGAGAGAACACCTGGGTATTCTGGCAGAAGTTTATATTTCTCCAAATCAATTTCTGGAAAAAACATGTCACTTTCAAAGTCCTGCATGATTCTTGTCACAAATAGTTTAAGGTGGCCTGGGTGATTCATGGCTTCCTTATAAACAGAACTGCCACCAACTATCCAAATCATATCTACTTTATTTGCTAATTCTGGTTGTTCAGTAAGGTTTAATGCATCATCCAGACTTCTGGCAAGAAAATGAGCTCCTTGTGGGGGTTCCTTGAGTTCTCTGCTGAGAACTAAATTAATTCTATCCTTTAAAGGTCGATTCTTCTCAGGAATGGAGAACCAGGTCTTCCTACCCATAATCACCAGATTCTGTTTACCTTCTATTGAAGAGGCTGTCGTCATTCTCTGGAAATACCTGAATTCATTTCTGAGTGGCGGCCAGGGCAGGTCTCCCTTCTTGCCGATACCCATGTTCTGGGACACAGCGACAATGCAGTTTAGCAAACGAACCATGATAGCAATGAGCACCTCCAGGCCCGCCCCGTAGGTGGCCAAGATTGTCGTGAAATTCCCTTCTTCATATTCTTTTACGTGTCCACATTGCAAATACAATACTAGTGTATTGATTCATTAATTGCAACATTCTGGAATAAGCATAGAAAAATAAATTATATAAAATATATAAATGTATATGTATAAAACATAAATTTGTAAAATTATAAAAAATACAGAGGCTGAAAAGTAGACTGACTTTTCCACAAACATTAAACAGACAGCATCCAAGAGACGGCATCATTTCACTCCTGAATACCTTATAGTCTTTTGTACCAAGTCTAAATTCTAATAATGTGCATTTTTAGGTGACTTGGAAACTTGTTTAAATAAATATTTTAAGCTTCAAATCAGATTAGTGGGAAAGACATGTTTTTACATGAATATAAGACTTGTACCTATAGCACGTACCTATACTGATATGAGCATCAAGGGGCATCAAAAGTTGATGTTTATTAAATATCAGGGGCCATATCAAACTAATTTTTTCTAACTGCGGATTGTTGCTACAAATGAGTGTGTACCTGAAGCCTAACATCAAAAGAGTAAATAAACTGCTATCAAAATAGGCGTAATAAACACCTTCCTTCGAGAACCATTAAATGTTGCTCCTTGTTAGAGATGGGGGAGGCTAGAGTGGAGGGTCCTTTTTGTCTTCACGCATTTGGTGTAAAGGCGACAAAAATCACAATGAGCACAACAGTGAAAATAGCAGCAGCTAACATTTGTTAACTATTTCCTAATCACTGTTCTAACCGCTTTACATGCGTATTCAGTTTAATCATTTAACACTCCCATTAAAAGAAGGAGATTATCCCCAGGGGCCAGGTTTGGGGAAAAGCATGACTTAATTTCTTTTTCATTATATTCCACCCTTTTATCCTTGAGTACTGAATGTGTAGGCTAACGGGGGTCATTCGATTTGGTAGATGAGAGCGTAACTAGTTTCGCTTTGAGCATAGGTGGTGGCTCACGCCTGTAATCCAGGCACTTTGGAAGCCAAGGCGGGCGGATCACCTGAGGTCGGGAGTTCAAGACCAACATGGTGAAACCCTGTTTTTAAAAAACAAACAAACAAACAAACAAAAACATAAGCCCAAAACTCATTCTTTCACTGAGCCCAATAGACCGTTCAGCACAACATGTGACTACCTTTGTATTTATTTTGAGACGCGGCCTCGCTCTGTCGCCCAGGCTGCAGTACAGCGGCGCGACCACGGCTCACGGCAACCTCAAAGCCCTGCTCAAGCAATCCGCCCACCTCAGCGTCCGCAGAAGCCGGGGCCACAGGCGCGCGCGCGGACGCGTGACTGTCTAAGGTCCGGACGCCCAAAGCTCCGCCCAGCAACCCAAGCAGCGAAACTTGCCTTTGTCCAGACCCGCGGCTTCCGCGTCCCGGGAGGTATCTGCCTTTACCAGCTACCGGAAGTAACCGCGCGTGAATCTCTCGCGGGACCCAAGCCTCTTGGACGAGATTTCTATCGCGCGGGCAAATCAGTATCTCGCGATAACTTGAAGAGGAAACGTGAGAGTGAAAGTGGACGCCTGCGGAAGTCGGACAGTTCTTTCAGCTCCGTGGAGGCTCTTTGATGCCGGTTCGCGTACACCTCTTGTTTGAAAGCTCTCAGCGGGACAATGCTGACCCCGGTGAGGCCTGGGGCCCGGCTGGGTGCCTCTCTAATGAGACGCTTCAGTACGCGGCCGAGGTGGCGAGGGAGGGTGCTGGGATGGGGGAACGCCGCCTGTGTTCGCCCCCTCGCGGCGTCAGCGTTTCTTTGGCTTTCCTGTCAAGCCCTGGAATAATGCCGAGTCCCTTCGGTCCGGCTCGCAGACGTCTAGTACTACTCCCTGCAGCTCTGGGAGGGCCGGGATTTGTTTCCGTGTCGTAGCTGTATCCCGGGAGCTTAGAACGGCGTCTGTTACATGGTAGGCATCGAATACACTTTTCCTGGACGAGTCAATGAAACAATTGCAAGGAATTTTCGCAAGGAAACTGGAGTGATTTTTTTTTCCCCTAAATTAACTTTTCACTTTGAAATTTAGATTTACAGAAGAGTTGCAAAGATAGGACAGAGTTCGCGGATACCTTTCACCAAGTTTTCTTGATGTCAGCATCTACGGTGACTTTTTAGTTTTGTTTAGGGACAAGGTCTTGCTCTGTCACTCAAGCTGGAATGCGGCAGCTGGGTCATAGCTCACTGCAACCTTGAACTCCTGGGCGTAAGCCATCCTCCAGCCTCAGCCTTGCTGGGAGCTAGGACTAAGGAGCGGGCCACCACGCCTGGCGAATTTTTTTTTTTTCCCTTTTGTAGAGACAGGGCCTTGGTATGTTTCCCCGTCTGGTCTCGAACAGGGAAATAATCCTCTTCCCCGCAAAGCATGAGCCAGCTGGAGTGCAGTGGCGAAATCGCGGCTCACTGCAACCTCCACCTTCCGAGTTAAAGCGATTCTCCCACCTCAGCCTCCTGAGTAGCTGGGGTTACAAGCGCCTGCCACCACTCCCGGCTGATTTTTGTGTTTTTAGTAGAGACGGGGGTTTCCCATGTTGGCCAGGCTGGCCTTGAACTCCTGATCTCATGTGACTTTCCCACCTTTGCCTCCCAAAGTGCTGGGATTACAGGCGTGAGCCACCAGCCCAGCCCCTACAATGACTTTTTACAATTAATTTGTTCTTTTGACAGTTTACTCAGACCCCGTAGATTCTCTTTTAGCCTTTGCATCACATTTGGAAAATAATTATTTGGAAAAATCTTGCTTTTTCATAAGTAGGTAATGTAGTACAATTTTGGTACTTGTAAGATATTGCTCCCGTTTCAAGATAGGTAATGTAGTACAATTTTGGTACTTGTAAGATATTGCTCCCGTTTCAAGAACTAGTAATTATCCAAAAAAAGTGTTCTTGTCTTGAAAAGAAAAACTTGCTAATGTTGAAGTTCAATAAATTTATAATAATATCACTGTGTGTCAGCAACCTTTTCTTATCATCATAGCTGAAAGCAAAATCAGAAGGGAAGCTTGCAAAACAGATTTGCAAAGTTGTGTTGGATCATTTTGAAAAACAGTATTCTAAAGAACTGGGAGATACCTGGAATACAGTAAGGTTAGTATAATTAATCTCGATGCTTTATAATGGAACAAAGTACAATACATAGTCCTCCTTTTTGTGGGAGGGATGCCGTGAGGATAAAAGGCAAAGGAATCTAAACCTGGGTGTCCTTTCCTACTAAGGTTATAGAAAGGAACAACTTAGAGGAAGTTGATTGAATCATAGCATAATGGAAAGGGGAGAAAGAAAACTTCACAGATTGCCATCCCTTTGCTTTGAGCAGTTGCTTTTATCCTTGAAATAGGAATGTCCACTAGTTTGACAAAATTAATTATACTGTAAAAGAAAATCATAAAATTTGGAATATTTGGTTTCTGAAATTTAGAAGATAATACAACAAATCTTTAAAGCCAGCACTGCCTTCTCTTAGTCAAAGGTACACTTTATTGGGTAATCATATTTCTTTCCTAGGCCTATGGCTGGGTATATTTTGAACACGTGCATATACACACAAAATTATTTATACTATAGAAACAAATGCTTAATGCATGGAAGTAGGAGAAACATGATTTGTATGTTTGGTAAGCTGCTGTTGATGTGTGGATCACTGTATGGGTTCTTGACACTGAGTGCCTGATACACTGTATCATGCTCTGGAATACAAACAGCAGGACAGTCCACACGTCCAGTTTACATGCAGTCTAGTTAGTGTTTATGAGGGAGGTGGGGAGATGGGTGTGGTTACAACTATGTAAACCAATTTGTAAATACTGTGATCAAAGTATCTAACAAAGCCTGAGGGTGCCAGCCAAGGCCTGAAGGGGAGCTGGGTCTTGGTGACTTACAGGAGTTAAAAAGAACTAGACCCTCTAGGTTGAGGGAAGAAGGTGCACTGTTCATGAAGTTACGGCAAAAGCCCACTACATGTTGTAGGAGGAAAAAAAGTTACATAGCTACAGATCATATCTGTAACTGAGTCCAGACTGATTTTTCAGATGGTTGGCTTATCCATTTTCTTCTTCCATCAACTGTAAGCATTTCTCCTTTACAAATGGCAGCTCTAAGCTTTTCTGAAAACAAAGATATTAAGTTTTGGCTAATAAAGATCACAAAGGCTGAGGTGATTCTCAGATAATTTTAGGACAATTAAGCTGTTTTAGAAATTGGTAAATGCTATAATGTGCAAGCCATTTATATTTGTGGGTTTTATTTCAAAAGTAGATTTTCAAATGGATATTTTCTGTCACAGAGATGAAAAACAAAAAGTATGTAATAAATTCATGAGGTTTTCAGTATACAAAGGTACTCAAATAGAATGTTCAAATAACTGAACGCTTATTAATATGCTTCATACTGACTTATGTGATTCTCAGAACAAACCTGTAAGAGTTTAAATAACTTGCCAAAATTCACTCAGCTAGTAAGTGGCGGAGCTGAGACTGGTGCCTAGCTTGGCTGACTAAAGAACTCCCACCGCTCATCCTTTTTCTATACTGTCTCATATCTGGGATATGATTAAAAACAAAAAAAGGACAAGATTTTAAGAGGTATTTTTTTTCTGTAGACTTTATAGCAGTCTGGCTACTCATTTTCTGTAATGACTTATTGTTTTACTTAGTGTACTCAGAAAGTCATATAGCATTACTTAACCCTAAACAAAATGAGCAGGGAACCTTAAAGCCATTTAATTAGCTGTACCTTCTGCTTCATCTACCATATTATTGGGTTTTTGTTGTAATTTAAGTTTTACATAAACACACATTAAATTTGGCATTGGCAAAATAAAGGCTTCTCAGTTTAGGAAGTAATCTGAGTGTAGAAGATGGTATGGGGAAATAACAATTAAATATTTTGTTTTTTAACTGCTTATTTGTAAGGCATAATGCACTTGTAGAGTCTACTTCCAGGGAAAGTCAAGGGTGTTTTTTTTTTTGGCCTATTTAGAAAGTAATTTTTTCAGTATTTTTAGTTTCCTGTAGTGGTGGAGAAGATTCAGTATTTAAATTTACTCTTTTGTAATAACCTTTTTTGTCTAGTTATCCTCTGCATAGCCTTTAAAACTGGTTTACCCTGGTTCAATTTTTGCTCTATTTGTTGTCTCCATGTTCTCCTCAGGTAAGCTAATTTATGGCGTGACTTTTATCAGTATGCTGTCATCTGAAGCCGTGAGGTTCTTCCCAAGATATGGTCCCATACTTCTGTTTTTTAGCAACTTCAGTTACTTGGCAAACCCAGCAAACTCAGAAGTGTATTATTAGTTTTCCCTTCCAAACCTCTGTTGCCTTTGCTACCTGTATATTTTACCTCAATTACGTGTGTCATCATCAGTCTGGTTCCTTCCTTCTCTATACTTTCACTACCTTTGTAGTAAAGAATGAATCTTATTCAAAAATATGTCTAGCATTTTTGTCCTCAGGTCCTGGGAGATGATCTTTAAGCTCTTGGAATGTCCTTCCTGATAAGTGTGCCTTTGTTTACCAGGGTGTTTAGATCACACATAATAATCTAACGATGTGATTTGTGTTGAGGGCTGTGGACCACAGGTGTTAACCTCCAGAAAGGCTTGTGACTAAAAGCTATATGGTCAGTCAGTCATATGTACATGACCAAGACTCAATAACAAGTGGATACCAAGGCTCTGGGGAGTGTGCCTGGTTGGGAGTACTCCTGTTCAAGCTGTCATACATTACTGCCAGTAAAAGTTAGCCTTGTTGATGAGTTGCATCCTTCCAAACACACGCACAGATCCCATAGTATGAAAGACTCCTTATGTTCAGGATTTTTAGCCTTTTGATGCTCCACCAGAAACTCAAAGGATTTCCTATTTGAGGTGCAGTGAGTAACAAACTGGACATAAATTGCCCTTCTGTGAGATGCAAGGAATAGCCATTGCCAAAATAGAATAGGAAGCCATAGGCTCTTCATTAGCGTCTCTGAAGAATAAAAATAAAATGCCTCAAAAACACATTTGGTGCATTTCCATAAAATTGATTTATATTTTCATTTCCAAACAACTTTTAAAATGGTTGAATGAGCACCCTCTAGTGGATAAAAATAGCACTAAATCAAGGAATTTCTCTTAGCTATGGAAATTTACATAGGTTCTGTAATTTTACAGGGTTATATTGTGTTTAACAACTTGTAGATTAAATGGTATTTTGAAGGTAGGGTGGAGAGTAGAATAGTAGGAGAAAAGAATAAAGTCACAGAAAGTTGATTGAAAATGATACTCTCAAATAATAAACATTATCCAAATAATATGTTACACAATTTTGCAAGATTTTAACTTAACTAGCTTTTCATTTTTTAATGCTTTGATTTTGTTAAAATAATAAGTAGTTTGGGGAGCCGTAAATTAAACTCTAATTTTTTAAATTTACTCTGGGATTTAGGCCCCAGGCACTAAGCCAAGGAGACAGAGAAAAATAAGTCGAAGTTCCCATATAAACAAGTTAGAGAAATGGGTAAGCAGTCAGGGTGACACACAGTGTGATATATTAGTTTAGTTTCATCAACTGTTTCTCAGAGTTAAGTTATTCCTGTGTACCATCTGTCCAGTTTTACTTAATATTTTTTTGATCAGTTTTAATATTTTTCTTTTGTTAGGAATTTAAATATAAGCTAATTTTATTTCATTATCAGTAAATAGATGTGTCTAGCATATAGTCGATATATGGTGTATTTTTAGAGAATGAATGAATTTTGACAAGATAATACACAATGGCTCACGCCTGTAATTCTAGCACTTTGGGAGACCAAGGCAGGGGGATTGCTTGAGGGTGGGAGGATCACTTGAGGACAGGAGTTGAAGACCAGCACGGCCAATATAGCAAGACCTCATCTCTACAAAAAATAAAAAATTAGCTGGGTGTGGTGGTGCATACCTATAGGCCCAGCTACTTAGGAGACTGAGGTATTGCTTGAGTCCAGGTGGTCAAGGCTTCAGTGAGCCATGATTGTACCACCATACTCCAGCCTGGGTGACAGAGTGAGATCATGTTTCTGAAAAAAGAAGACAAAACAGACTTATCATAGTAGAGGGATGAGCAACAATGAGTGAGATATAGAAAGGCTTTCCAAGGGGTATGTAGGCTCAGGTAAGTGACAGCAGTCAGTTTTCACATCCTCAACTTTCATGTATTCTCTTTCATAAAATTACTCTGCCCCACTGTACATAAGGGGGTACGTATTGTCCTTTCCCAACCTGCCTTTCTCCAATTTTCTGTCACCCTGTTTACAAAAAAAGGCACTCTTGCACTATTCTGGCTTCTGTGCTGCATTCCTCCAGGTATTCAAAACCTTCATGTGCCAGAAACTGTTGGAATGTCAGTGTGAGAAAGCAAATGACCTAACAGATTCTCTGACAAGTCAGGTGATTTCCAGGTTTTGCTTCCAATAAAAGTAAAGGATCCCTGATTGAGATGTCAGCTAACAACTCATTTAAAATATTTGTGATGATAGGTCGCTAAGTGATTTGGGGATATAACTCTAAAAGAATTCAAAGTAAGAAACATTGCTATAACAAAATATATTTAATTTTCATCCATTTATTTAACTGAAGGTTTTTCTCAGCTCTTATAAAAACACAAAATGTGCATAAAAGTTATGTTGAATCCTGACTCATTTTATTATAATAAGTAATGTTCGTTCATGCATACATGAAAACAAAAGCTCATTGCATTAAAATATCCATTTCTTATCAATTTTACTTTTATGTTTTTAAGTTGTTTTGGTCAGTTTTATAGTAATAATATTATTGATCCCTGAAACCAGGAGTTACTATTTTAACACTTAGAAATTTAAGACCACAGGAAAAACAAATTTAGTACATATGCATGTGTATATGTGGGGCCTAGGGAAGTATGATAGGGTGATAAAAAGATTTCAAGTATGAAAATATATTAGGATAAAGTTATATGAAATAGAATGTAAATAAAAGAGGAAAATGAGCAGCATGAAATTTCCACCTATTAAAGATGAGTCAGTCTATGAATTTTTAAATGGATTGTGATGGGTATCAAAATCATTCTGATATTTAGGATCCACTGGGTACATTTTTAAAAGCAGTGTAATTTGTATTTTAAAATTTCAATTTTTACAGTATGCTGGAAATTGTATCCTTTAAACATATGGTGAGGATTTTAATGTCAACCTTAAATGTGTTTTTTTCAAAATGGTTTCAGTGATGTACCAGCACATTTGCAGGTCACTGACCTTGTGTGTCTCCATTTCTGCTGGCTACTGAGGTGCTTGCACTTATTCTCACCTGGAACACCAGCAAATGGAGCAGCTTCCGACTAACTGAGAATCTTGGGAGAAGGCCTGGAGTGTGGTACCTGGCCACTGTTTTCTAGAGTCTTCTAATGTACATTCCCTCTATCACCTGCTAGACTACTTGCCCATCCATCAAAGCTTTGGATTCGGAAGCCACTTTCCCTCCAGCCCCAGGGTAGCCACCCACCTAGTGCAGGCATGGGAGGGTGTGTGTGTGTGTGTGTGTTGTGGTGAGAAGAATGAAGGTCAGTGGCTGTGTATTATATTAATTAATAAATTAGAGTAATTAATAAAGCTGTGTATTATATTAATACACAGCTTTGCTTTCTCAGGCCTAGGAAGCACCAGCCTGAGCAGCCTTAGCAGACCCTTCAAGAGTTGGTCTGTTGCAGCTGCTTCTATAGGCAGGATATGACAAGCTGATTTCATTGTTAGAGACAAGAGGGTTTCAGGGAGGTCAGGGCCACTTGCACTAGTTAAGGGTTGGGGTAAAATTCTCTTTCCTGCCCCCCTTGTGTAGCTCTGTGCTGTAGTACAAAGGTGTCACACTTTGAGAATCACTTCTGTTAGGCCTTAAAGTCAGTCTGATTTTGAATCAGATACTTCCGCCTACCAGCAATGTGACCTCGGGTAAGTTGCCAAATCTCTAAAGGCCTCAGTTAACTGCTAAAATAGGAGTAAGAGCTGCCTCTGTCAAGGTTGTTGTGATGATTCTATGATATAAATGTGCAAAGTGAACATTGTACCCATCCAATCAGTAACATTTATTAATAATAATATCAGAGAATGGTGGAGGATATGAACTGCTGGAAAGGCTTCCTTAGGTAAAACTCCCTAAGTTGAGAATGCGTGAGTGAGAGAGGAAAGGTTATTCCAGTCAGGGTCGGGAGCAGGGCATAGTTTATGTGGAGACCAGTAAATGTTAAAGAAACTTGTTAGGGGAAATCTATATAGTTCAGTAGGATTGGGCATAGATCATGAAAGATCAAAAATTTCATTTGTTCTATTTAGGCCTTATTTTGTCTAGCCACTAAAGAATGAGATAGAATAACTTTTGAAGAGTTCTGCCTCAATCTGCAATAAGTACATGTCTTTAAGTCTGATTGGGGCTGTCTCCCCCTAAAGTCTTTAAATGGCTTCTCATCACTTAGAAGATAAGATTCAAAAACCTTATCATAGTATACTTGGTAATCTTCTGCCGTGATCCACACCAGACTACTAAAAACACACTGTTCTTTCTCATACTTGTGTGCTTGTACATGTGGTATTGGCTGTCCTGAAACTTCCTTTGTCATTTCTTCCTATAGATAATTTCTTCTCATCCTTCAAGATTTAATGTATTGGGTAATGTACAAAAGTAATGTTTTTCCTAAATTAATAATCCTCTTAATAAGCTTAAAAGGAAATATGCAGGTTTAATTACCTTCCTAAGAGATATGGAAGAAAATGTGAATAAATGGAGAAACATATTGTGATCAGAATTGGAAAAACTGATTGCAATAAAGATGTTAAATCTCTCCAAGTTTAATGCATCTAATATAATATTCGGCAAGGTTATTATATCTCTACCTGTCTACATACGCAAATATTTTATAAATGTTTTTTAACTTTGTTTCCAAAGTTCATCTGAAAGAATAAACATTCAAGATAGTTTCAAAAACTCTGAAGAAAAAAAGAATGAATAGAGATTCGTCTTGTCTGATACCAACTGAAAGTGTCCTACACCTTTTTAGCTGAGGGGTAGGCACATGATGCAAGCCAAGCCACTCCTGTCAGTATAATTGTGTTTCTGACACTCTTTTTATTACACATGACTCAACACTGGATAGATTTTTCAGCCTGTTTGGAGGGTAAGATTAGGGTGAACTACCGTAAGATTTGCAATAGTGGGCGTTTGCAGATTTCACATTGGGGTCAGTTTTAAAGCAGTCTTTCCCAAAGTGTGGTCCTGGGTATGACCAGCATCAACATCACCTGAAAACTTTCTAGAGATACAAATTTCAGGCTCTCTTTCAGACCTACTGAATCAGAAACCTGGGGTAGGTCCCTGCAGTCTTGCACACTTAAGTTTGTGAACCTCTTTCTTAAGGAAAGAGGTTGTCATCCTCCAAAATAGCTGAAACAGATATGCCATGCTCCTGTGACACACCATCCATAGTAAGAGGCAGTGAAAGGAAAAAGCAGTTTCACATATTGGCCCTAAATTGAAATTCACATGGCACGCTTCCAGTTGCAGGTGTTAGATTTCAATCCAGCCATTTCTCACATAAGCAACTCCAGGGTGTATAGCAGCTGGAATTTATTTAATTGGCCATAGTTAATGAGGCTCCCAAATAACTCAGCTAGAAAGGTCAGCTAGTAAATAAATTAAATATTTCCTGCTGGATCATCTGTCAGTTGATAGGAGTTTGTGATTGTCAAGGGATGGAACTCTTGGACCGAATACAAATGTAGCAAGGTAAAGCTGCTGGGGGAAAGCCTGCACCATCAATCCATAAGTGGTTTTTAAATCATCCTTGGTTTTGTATCATCTGAGCCACTCATTGCCTCATTAACTCCATTACTATAGAGTTCACTGTAGTTAGTTTCCCATACCTTTTATCTTCATCAGAAGAAAACACTCATTCCCTCTAACACCCTTTTATGATAGTACCTTTCCCTCTAATATTAATAGTCTCTAAGAAATTGAATAGTGGTTCTAAGAAAAACACGTCTTTGTGCAAAGAGTGATGGACAAAGATTCATTTAGACAGATTAGAGGTATGTAATGGCAGGCCGTTGTTGTTGCTGTTTTGCAAGATATTCTGCAGGGAGGGACTAAGCTGAGTGTAGGCTGAGGCATACCTCCCTGGTGCAGAATTTAAGGGGCCTCAAAAAACTTAGTAATTATAATGTTACCAGTAGAGGGTCTTCCCTGCAAGTTGTCCAGGTTCTTGGAGTTTTGAACAAAGAATTGGACAAAATGCACAGCAAAGCAAGGAAAGAATGCAGCAACAAAAGAGATGTATTGAAGGTGAAAGTACACTCCATAGAGTGATACTGGCCAGAGCAGCGCCACAAGGATACAGAATCTTCTCAGGTCCAGATACCCACTAGAGGTTACCCATTGGCCACTCGGTGCTAACCTCATATCAATGAAGTCGTGGCCTGCAATCAGTCTGATTGGTTGTGGAAAGCAACCAAACTGAGGCTGAAGTGAAGTTACAAAGGTTACCTTTTGTGCAAGTATCTCATTGGTTGTGGAAAGCAACCAATAGGAGGCTAAAGTGAAGTTATAAAGTTGCATTTCTATGCAAGTGTGTGATTGGTTGCAAAAAGCAACCAATTAGAGGAATTTTCAATTTCCCATGTGCCGTGCAGAAAAGGAGGGGGTTTGCAAAGAAAGTAGCCCCTGGTCCTTTTGTTACTTAGGCATGGAAAGTTAGGGTTTTCCTTTCAATTTAGTTCTAGGAAGTCAGTGTGAAATGGCCTTAGGTTCCCTGCCTCCAAATCTTTTTTCTCCTGCTCAATAATGTAATATTTCAGTGATCACAATTAGTTTTTGAAAAGCTACAATGAACGAAATACCAGTTTTTAAAATAAAGACAGGACATAACAATGCTGGATTTAGTCCTATCAGAGCCTCATGAGGCAAAAGGAAGAGTCAGGCATACTGATCCTGTCTCTGCAAATCACAGGTAAGTGAAGTGTAAAACTAGGACCATATTCACCTGATTCATAATATAAAACTGTATTGGTATTTATAATATTAATATTCTCTTAATTTCTCTTTTTCTATTTCTAGGGAGATACTAACATCTCCATCATGCTGGCAATATGCTGTCCTGCTTAACCGATTCAATTATCCTTTTGAACTGGAAAAGGATTTACATTTGAAGGGCTATCATACCCTCTTTCAGGGATCTTTACCCAACTATCCTAAATCAATGAAGTGTTACCTTAGCAGAACTCCAGGCCGAATCCCTTCAGAAAGACACCAAGTTGGAAACCTGAAAAAGTATTACCTCCTAAATGCTGCTTCTCTTCTCCCAGTATTGGCTCTGGAATTAAGGGATGGGGAGAAGGTTCTGGATCTGTGTGCTGCTCCTGGAGGCAAATCAATAGCTCTGCTGCAGTGTGCTTGTCCAGGTAGTGTGCTTTTCTTTCGTATTTAACAACTTTTTAATATCTGTATGTTACAGAATACTTTGAAAGTATATGCATATGGGGAGAAACATTAGATCGAGTTTGCAAACTCAGGAAGCCTGAAAACTGAGACACTTATGGAGAATGTTGGAAATTGTTGCTGAGGAAGTTAGTATAAATAACATTTTTTTCAGCAACTTAATTCTAGCAGGTTATTGGGAATAAAATTTCAACATTTCATCAATACAAATCTGTCAGATAATATGAATGCTGATAAGCCTGATAGGTATTTTTTATTGTTTACGTTTATACTTGAGAGTCTTATATAGATATCCCTATCATACTTCTCTGCAACGGAAGCATATACATTTAAAATAATTTTTTGATGTCAATAGACTATAAGGTTCTAAGGCAATTTTTCCAGTAGAAATATAATGTGAAGTACATATATATTCTTAAATTTTTAGGTAGTTCCATTGTAGAAAGTAGAAACAGGTGAAATTAATTTGAATAATACATTGAACCTAATACGTTCAAAATATTGTTTCAATATGTAATCAAAGTACAGCTTAAGAGATATTTTACATTCTCATTTTTTTTACAGGTCTTTAAAATTGGTTATCTTACAGTTACAGCACATTTCAATTCAGACTAGCCACATTTCAAGTCCTTATAGACACTTGTGAGAAGAGGGTATAGTATTGGACAATGCAAAAAGTCTTTTCAAGTGACTTTTTCATTACCATTATTAGTAAAATCAAAGTGATATACAGTTTTACAAATATTTGTTAAAAGTAACAGGTCAACATTCACTATAACATTTTCTTAATTTTTTCTTTTAAAGCTAATATTTTTCTTTTAAAATTAATACAGATTTCCCTGAATAAACATTACTTATTGCTAGAGGAGGCAGAGTTCATCATCAATTCTTTCTGGTTTTTGTGTGATAGTTTTGTTTTTATAGATGCCAATGCTGTTCACACAGATAAAAAGATAGAAATATGACTTGGCGTGGTGGCTTACACCTGTAATCCCATCACTTTGGGAAGCCAAGACAGGCAGATCGCTTGAACTCAGGAGTTCTAGACCAGCTTGGGCAACATGGGTTTTTCTAGATCAGCATGGGCAACATGGGCAAACCCTGTCTCTAAAAAAAAAAATTCAAAACATTAGCTGGGCATGGTGGTGCATGTCTGTAGTCCCAGCTACTTGGGAGGCTGAGGTAGGAGGATTGCCAGGTAGTGGAGGTTGCAGTGAGCCATGACTGTACCACGGCACGTCAGTCTGGGAAACAGAGTGACACCTGTCCCAAAGAGAATTGTGTTACAGTTGTTTTACTGGTTCTTCAAACTCCTGATTTATAGCCCCAGATCACATACAGATATTTCATCAATTATTATTTTAATGATCTATTAGATAAGCACTCTCTAAGTCTGTTTTTTTATTTTGTTGAAAGTGAATGATGTGAAACCATCTCAATTACAAAAGGCAGTGTTACCATTTTTTTTTTTTTTTTTTTTTTTTGAGATAGAGTCTTGCTCTGTCTGTCAGACTGGAGTGCAGTGGTGTGATATCGGCGCACTGCAGCCTCTACCTCCCAGGCTCAAGCGATTCTCCTGCAAAAGCCTCCTGAGAAGCTGGGATTACAGACACACCACCACAGCGGCTAATTCATTTATTTTTAGTAGAGATGGGGCTTCACCATGTTGGCCAGGCTGGTCTCGAACTCCTGACTCAAGTGATCTGCCTGCCTTGGCTTCCCTAAGTGCTAGGATTACAGGAGTGAGCCACTGTGGTTGGCCGACTTATTCACTTTCTCAGCCAAGACACTGATGTGTTGAACTGCCCTCGTTTGATGTTCTGGAGGGTTCTGCACTCTGGCACATTCTGCCATAATAGGATTCTAGATGTGTGGGAAGCTTGCTTGTCATTTGTAAAGCTGGTGAAGGGACATGTGAAAGGAGATGCTCCACTGGAAGTGTTATCCTCCTTTAGGAAGTTGATGATCTAAAAATGGATTTTTTTGAAACTGTCCAAGCCTTCCTGTCCCTTAGAACATTGATATGCATCCCCAAGGCATGTATGTTCTGATTTGAAGACTGCTTTTATACTTTTATATGAGAGCATTCGCTGTTGAAATAGATTTAAAATTCTTTTATGACGAATGTGAATCCAGTTGTACTAGATATTGGTACAAATATATATTGGTTAACTGTATTTTTAGAAGAAAATATGCCCTGTGTTTTAGAGTTATGGTTAAAACTCAGCTATTGAAGCTTGCTGTATTTTAGAATAAGAAATCACAACAGGAATATTATTTTATAGGTTTACGTTATTATTTTATGATTTGAGCTGAAGTTCTGTGGAATTGTACGTTATAAGGAGTACTTCTTTTTACTTCTACTCTGTGTCCTTTGAAGTGTTCTTATAGGTCAAAAGGCTTATACCAATTCTGGATATAGAATTTTAGTAGTATAAAGGATGGAAAGGAAATGTCAAATTTGGTTACCATTTTGAAAGGAGAGCATTTTAATCCTAAATTATCCTCATTAGTAGGCTATAAATATTTTACACATTTATGGTAGCAAAGTTGATTTGATTAGGTACCCAAAGGCAAACTGATCTATTCTAGGAGTTTGAAGTGGAGAAGAATCTTCCTGTTCTTGTATCAAGGGCAATGAACTACAGGCAGTTTTCCAAGTAAAGTAGCTTTTCATCTAAGTAGGACTAATGATAATGATTTACTAAGAAGTACAGATGTCTTCATGCTGATGCTTAAAGCCCAAATTAGGTTAGCTACAGTGCTTGAATTTGGAATGTGGAAGCAATGCTAATCAAAGCTTTTATAAGCAAAATATAAAATGATGGCTGCACTAAGTGTGCATTTGTACATCAAATTTCTTTAGATCAGTACTGGTCTTTATTCTGGGCCAAGAGGCTTATGGCTTTGAATGATTACAAAGCTTATGTTTTAGGATAATTTTTTTAAAAAGAGTGTACTTTCTATTGGTCCAGCTTCTCTCACCTGTTAACACATTGATGGACCGACCATGGTTTTTGTCAACATATCCTTTTCAATGTTCTGAACTTGGCAGAAAAAGAGCAAACGATATGAATTCTAAATGGAAAAACATTAGCATATTGACTAAGGTTGACCCAGCTTGGTGGAGTCTTAGTCAACTTTCTGGCTGAAGGCTATGTCCCTCTAGGCGTGAAAATCCCTTTGATGCCAGTGATAAGTTTTTTTGTTTTTTTTTTTTTTTGAGACAAGGTCTCACTCTGTTGCCCAGGCTGGAGTGCAGTGGTGTGATCTTGGCTCACAGCAGCCTTGACCTCCTGGGTTCAAGTCACTTTCCCTCCTCAGTCTCGCAGGTAACTGGGACTCTGGGCACATGTTTGTAGTTTTCTATAGAGATGAGGTTTCACTATTGCCCCAGGCTTGCCTTGAACTCCGGGGCTCCAGCAACCTGCCTGCCCTGACCTCCCAAAGTGCTGGGATTATAGACGTGAGCCAACGCGCCAAGCAGTGATAACTTTTTGATATCTGGTTAGTAGAGAAGACTGAAAAGACTCCTTTCTTCATTTAATTGCTTTTGCTCTCCTTCCTGCTGCTTCATCTCTAGTCCTTTTTTGCATTCTACAGGTGCCATTTTTTCCTTTTTCTTCCCCTGCTCCTTTCCATCCTTCAGATTATACTTCAGAAATCAGCTTTCCTGGAACGCCTTCTCTGAACTCCCTGCGTTATGTGCATCTTCTTTGTGGTAATGAAAATAATAACCATTTTGGAACGCTTTGTATGCGCCGAAGACCGTGTTAATCACGTTGCTTAAATCTCTGCTTTTCAAACATTTTTTTAGTAGTCTTTGCTTCCGGCATCTTGTTTTTTATTTTTTTTCTTCCTCTCACCTTCTCCCAACATCTTTGTTATAACCCTATATATACATCTTCCTAAAGTCCTAGGGCTCTAAGAAACTGTGACTATCACTGGTGACCATTATTTAACTCTCCAACTCTATGAGTTGGGTATTATGATTCCCATTTTAAAGGTTTAACTGAGACAAGAAGTCCTAAATTCCCTAAGGTAAGTAGCAGACTTGGGATCTGAACTCAAGTTTTCATTGTTGTAGTTGTACTATTGACTATTCCAGGGTCTCCCAGTAATACACAGTTGCTGACTTGTGTAGCGTCCTCTGTTAGTCTTCTGGAGCATAGGGGCAGATCCTTTTTTTTTTTTGAGACACAATCTCACTCTGTCATTCAGGGTGGGGTGCAATGGTTCAATCTTGGCTCGCTGCAATCTCTGCCTCCTGGGTTTAAGTGATTCTCATGCCTCACCCTCATGAGAAGCTGGGATTATAGGCGCATGCCACCATACCTGACTAATTTTTGTATTTTTAGTGGAAATGAGGTTTCACTGTGTGAGCCAGGCTGGTCTCAAACTCCTGACCTCAAGCGATCCACCTGCTTTGGCCTCCCAAAGTGCTGGTTACAGGCCTGAGCCAGCATGCCTGGCCCAGATTCTTATTCATCTTTGTGCCTGCAGCAAATAGCACTGTGCCTAGTCCATAACAAGTTCTTAATAAACCAGAACCTCAAAGTAGTTCTAATCTCAAGTGCATTTTAATCTAATGTCAACCACATTTTAACAAATTCATTATCACCATTTTGTTCTTTGGTGAGCTTGTAACGTTGCTTCCAGGTAAATTTAAAGAAACTTACCATTATCCTTTGCTGCACTTTTTTTACAGGTGGTAATACATGAGTGGGGCAGGAGAGGGCTAACTCCCACCTACCAGGAATGTCAGGCCACCATCAGGCGATGATTTGGCAGTTGTCACACTGCCTCTTTAAAAATGATAATTGGCAGCCAGTGCCAGGAAGAGGCAATTTCCTGATGCTCCACAATTGTCACACTAAAGTGATAATTCATTGCAGGCACCAGGGAGAGGCAATTTCCCAAACAGATAAAAACATTTGAAATTGGTAATCAACTTCCATTAAAA